GGTGATTTGTGCCAACAGAAGAGCAAAGCAAAGCAAAGTTCAGCACGGCAAAGCTAAACTCAACTCGTTCAAACTAATTCGGGAAAGACAACAAACAAACAAACGAACGAAGAAACAAACAAAATTTAAGAGCTGCAAAATGAAAATTGTAAATCATTCAATGAAATTACCTCGTTATCTTTGGCCACAGAGCGCGGCGAGCAAGCGACTCGGAGTGCTCGGTGTGGGCAGCGGAACGATCCTAGGATCCTGGCCAGGCCGCAGTTACATTGAGTTGTCTGCATAAAATTGTGATTTTATTATTTTTGGCAGAGCGCCCAGAATGCGGCGCTTAGCAATTGCTATGTCGCACGCGCACACCCAAGCATACACACACACACACACTAAAGGTCCCACATATGCTGGCAGCTTTCACATGCAGCGATAACTGCTGGAACAAAAAACAGATTGTGGCTGCATTCAACAATTGCCAAAAGGTAGCCAAAAAAATCAAAAAAACAAAAAAAGAATGAACCGTGACCATAAATTATACGCAGTGCATAGACGGAAATTTTTATGGACTGTGACTGGGTCTAGCCCAGACAGCGGCGGGGCTTTTTTAGTCTGTCTCTTTTTAGCCTTTTGGCATTGTTGCCGCAATTTTATCACACTTTGATAATCGTATAGCACATGCTTCACGACACGTCAGCGGACGCGATCACGCCGCCATTCGATTCAATTTGGCGAGGGCTCGCAGTTTTACACTCGATAAATTTCAACAAAGTGCCTTAGTCACTTAACGCGCGACTTAGTTTCAGGCCATGCCTTAAATTTGAATATATTTTCGCTCTTTGAATATATTTTCATTTGCATTTTCTTTTTATTTGGTCACTCGTCACCTTATTCGGAGACCTTTTTCACACATTTTCCATTATGCGTCGCTTGCCGTTTTGGTTGCTGCGCTTAGCGCGCAAATTATTTCACCTTTTATTCAATTTACTTTATCCACCGAACGTGACACTAATGTACGGCTACAATGTGCATGTCTGTATGCGTGTGTGTGGCTCAGCAGCATCCATACTTCCGGCAGACCGTGGGCCGAAACACTAGCACACACACACTAACACACAGAGAGAGAGAGAAGGTGTTTGGGGGCCAGCAAAATCCACTTTTGTTACATTTTTTATGAACACATTCGCTGGGACAAATAACCCGTAAAGTCAGTCAAATCCACGATAAAACCAAAATGCGCACACACAGACACACACATACAGAGAGAATGGAAGTGTGTGTGTGTGTGTCTCAAATGTCAGCAAACAAAATGCTGCTGCATAGTTTTAGGCTGCCGCATATATAGCGCTACACACACAATACACTGCCGCACATAACGGTACAAATTCAGGCACTCACACACGCACACACATGCACACATATGCCTGGCGGCCACTATCACCGATGGGCCCTTTCCGGCCCCGAGGCGTCGACAACGCCAGCATCCATTAATGCTTTTTCCATTAAATCCCCAAATAGTGCCTAACTCACACACTCGCACTAGTCCGACCATTAGCCATATGAATGTGTGTGTGAGTATGTATGTGTGTGTGTACCTGCTTAACTAATACTTATACACTTGGCCACAGCCATTCTACTAACATCCAACAGTTTCAATTTTGTCCGCTTAACACGTCCAAACAGTTCGAAACACCGGCAATGACTAAACTGAACTTTGAATTCGTCTGCTACACTGTCCAATGCTGCCAACGATGTGGCGCTGACTGTAGCATCCTAAATTGCCAGACAGACTGCGCTGCGGCGTCGACAGCGACGTCAGCGTCAGCGTCAGCGTCTCCGTCTGTCGGCTGAGATTATCTCCATCGGCTATTGCCCTTCGGCTCGAAGCTGTAAGTGTAGCCACAACGTCGCGCCATAATTGAACGACGCAAGCTGCGCTGCTAACTGCGACAGAACGCATTCTCTTTTTATTACTATATCTCTCTTTACTATCTATTCTGAGTTAAGTAACTGTAGCTTGCATTGTTGTTACTTGTACGCTGCGTTTTCATTACTTACGCTCTCCTGCATTACAACCAGAGGGTAGACGAGCAAGTGTAAAGACAAAACAAAGCGAAGAGAGACTGCGCTAGAAAGAGAGCGTCCCATTGAGAAATGACGCTATCTCTGTTATTCCTGACTGATTGAATTATGAAGTTATAAAATATTAATGAGTATAATATAAGTGGTACTGAACAAAGAACTTAAACTGCTTAAATATTCATTTTCGACTGTTAATAATGCGCCTTTCACACTAAAGCTGTGTTAATTAAATAGCTATCAATTGTAATTTATTCATACAACATTATCTAAATTGCATAATAATAATAAAAAATAATTTAAAAAGTGCCATTCAATTTGTACACTTTTTAAATTTACGCGCTTCGCCATTGTCCATAGGATTCTGGACAGCGGCACTTCATCAATCGGCTTTGGGCAGCTGCCACTATAAATCACAAGAATGTGCAACGCTCAAATGTCGCATTGGCGCCAAAAGTTATGCTACATAAAGCACGACCCGCGCAGCGGCTACCCCTGCTCCACAAACGACAGCTCGACGATGATTACTACGCAACTTTTAGCGTAAAATGTCATTCAGTATTCGCGGACAGCTTCGCCCTTCGCCATTTATTTATATTCGTGGCAGGCACATGCAGAAGCACGTGTTGCTTCATTCCCAAAGTACGCTCCCTGCTGTCAACAAAGCAACTGCGCATGCTCGCTCTTTCGACGCCAACGTGGGCAGCGGACAGCGCGTCAGCAGCGCTGCCACAGCATTGAAGTCTGAAGCCCGACCTACGACAACCAAACGAACCAATGAATGTATTGAAATCAATGTATAAGTGAATGTATGTGTGCTCGTGTGTGTGTGTGTTGGCTCATGAAAAAGAGAGAGCATCGCATAGCCTAAAGCTGTCAAAGCGCATTATCATTTTCATATATCATACTTAATGCGGGATGATATTTTCATTTAGTTTGTTTGGTCGCATCATCAGAACACTATGTAAGTATGTGCGTGTGTGCGTGTAGCATGTAGCTACTAAACTTACCAAATACTTAGGCAAAAGCTGTTTTCCTAGGCCTAAACAGACATTATATTTGCAGGCAGGCAGAATGGCAAAGCGTTGTTAGGCAAAAAAAAAAAACAAAAAAGTTCCTGTTACTTAACTCAATTGGCAGGTAAAAGATATTTGCCGAGTCATTAATAACAAAGGTGCAAAGGCATTCAACACTTTTAAGCAGAGCAAATATAGCTTTTTAATTAAACGGCATTAGAAAAGCCTGGATGCCACACGAAATGAAACAAACACAAGGACGAGCAGCTACATATATACTCACATCCATCTATCACACATGAGCTGACAATACAGACGGGCATCTTGACAGTTATGGGGTCTCGGGGCACAGGCACCAGCCATGGCCATCAGCAAACGACTTGGCCCATTTATGCAAAGCTTTTAAATAAATTACAAAATTGTTATAATTTAACGTGCACATCAGCATCGGAGCCACAAAACAGGCTGAGGCACACACCCGGCCACACAATAAGGCTATTGAAGTCCTTCCCAGCCGTACAAATACAGCTAAACGAATGCGCACACATATTCATTGTGTATGTAAGTCTATCAGCGTCCTGTTGCTGTTGCTTTTGTGCCTCGATGACTCCTCTACAATTTGTATTGTGTGAACTTGGCCAGCACACAAAATGAGATAATTTACGCAATTCGTTTATCTCGCCATTTAATTCTAGATTTACGGCTTTGCCTGACGCTGCTTTGTGGGTCGAGTGTCGTTCACACAAAATTTAACTAATGGATGCTTTTAATAACAAATCGGCAAATCGGCAAGTCGGCCTCTAATTTATACAATCCATGCATACATTATATGGAGTTAGCTATACTTCGGTGGGGTATGCTAATGACAATAGAACATTTCAAATATAACGATATATAACTATGCATTTATACCCATTGAAATATGTTATCAGGGCTTACTTAACTTACATTTTCAAGATTCGAAACATTCTTTGCGAAAAAACGATCCAAGTCATATAGAGAATAAGTATCAGATGGAATGAGTAAATAGATAGATGGATAGTAAACATATAGTAGATCTAATGATAAGCAAAACAGTTCCATACAATCTGTTTAGACTAGTGAGACTAATGAGTAGAGCTCACACTTTAGGGTTACTCAGTAAGGGAAAAATTTAAATACAAATTGTCAACAGCTTTCTAAATTTGTTATTTAAGAAGACTCATTAAATTATTAAAAATACAATATCTCTTACGTAAAGCTGTCTTCAGCAGTCTTTAATGCATGATAAGAATCAAACAGTTAAACCTGATAATAATTTTTAATTGTTGGTAAGTGCTCAAGTTAGCAGCTACAGCACTTAATATTTCCAGTCAGGCGGCTTGAGAATAAGTTAGTTCTAGCAAACCTGAAACTGATTCATTAAAACGAAGCTCACCATCAGCATCATATAAATATGTATCAGCATCGACGCTTGAAGACGAGTCTGTGGCGATGTTGCCAAGAAGAAACTCCAACCAGAACCAGAACTAGAATCAGAAGCTACCGACATTTGAATGAGGTTAGTTAAGTAGAACAATAGTCAACTGAACTAGATAGATACCCCAACCTGAGAAGAGCCTATGCGATTATCTGTTCCCATTGTTTCCGGTAAGATATCTGCGATGATGGAATGAGATAAACGAGAAAGAACAAAGCGAAGTTGTAAAGTTTTACAGTGAGAACTGTAAAAGAAACCGAATCCAAGTCAACTGCTAAGCTCAGCATTAAAACTAACTATTTGATGTGCGCTGGCTAATTATTTCTCCGTAATTAAAGCAGTTAGAACTAATTGTAAGCATACCAGAGCCAACGAACCAAGCTTTATGACTGTTTACGGGCCCGCAACTATAAAAGCGTCCAGCCTCGGTCAGAAGAGCCGCAGTTTCATCTCAGGCATCAGTTTCGACATTTGAATTTAAGCCAAGCTGCGAATATGGCCGTCAGCTTCGTTGTGCTCTACAACTGTCTGGTGCGAGGCCTCATTGTGCAGCCCGCGGGATCACTATACGAACAGAGACCAAGTCTCGAGCCGGAACTAGCTGCACTAGAGCCACCCGCATCTAGTTCATCGATACAATTATTCTCCTGTCTATATGGAGTTCGTGAAATACCAGGAGATTCAAGCCCAGTTGCTGATATCAATGCTGATCGTCGAATTTCTTTTGCTTTTGCGGATGACTTCAATCAAATCAATAATCAACTACCCACAGACTATCAAAGCACCTATGAAGTGCCAAATTCTCCAGCGGACACGGAAATTCTATCTGTCTATCCAGCCAGCACTGCGGGGACACTTACTCAACGCCTGCCCCCCATACATACGACCAAGCGCAACTGCCACATTATCAAATGCCCCAAGTTTTCGCATGCAACATATGGCAGCGATGGGGGCAGATGCTACGAGTTCGCCAATCAGTGCTTCATGGCTGTCGCCAGCTGCAAGCGCCACAATAACCGACTGCCACGTAAGCACTTATTTGAAAACTTAAACTCTCTCTTTAGTGCCTCATATTTCGAGATTCTCTTTGCAGGCCTCAAGGAAGTGAGCAAGAAGCATTGTGATAAGCTCATAAGAGAAATTACTGTCTAAGATTACCATGAAGACTTTATAAGTAGTAATAATTAGTTGAATACAAATTATTTAAATGATCATAGAGTAAGTTGATAAGGCATCCTCACGACATACACAATATCTCTCTGCGTTCAACACCCCCCTCCACTAGCAGGTAAAAAAATCGAACAATATACACAAGATGGAAACACTGAATAGAATCGAAGCTGGATAGCTTGCTGGAAGCGCGCCGTGATAGTGATGATTCCGAAGCCTGCTACTGGTGCGCCGTGAGGTCATTCCAAATCATCAATTCGGCTCTCACAGAGTTGTGCATGATATGCTGAGCGCGTGAAGGCTGAAGAAATTAGATCCTCTAGACCGTCGTGGAATTAGTTAAACTTGAATAGAAAAGAATTTATAGTAATTGAGTCTAAAATGTAAGATGTATATACTGATATGCGTGCCAGTTGAGGCTTATAGCTAAATGCGCTTTAGAGTCTGAGACAGTTAGCTGCAACAAACAAACTGAATAAAAATAAAAAATGCCTCAGCAAGAAGCTTTGCGATAAGATCATAAGAGAGATTAATAGCTAAGATTAGCATTAAGGCTTTATAACATTCTGAGCTATAAGTAGAAAAATTAGTTAAATGAAAATGATTTATAGTAGCTCATAGAGTGAGTTGATAAGGCGTGCCCACGTTTGTTGTTATTTCAAATTGTGAGTTTTCAACAGATATTAGACAATTGTATACCAGTGGGGAGTGCCCGACTAAGTTTTACTCAAAACCAGTGACCTGCGACCAGTTTTAACTTCATCTTAGCTTCATCTGAAGTAGAGTAAGCTATATATCTATATATAAATATACATATCTGCTAGCTTTAGGGCAACATAACTCATTCTAGCTCTGAAGATTTCAAGAGCACTGAAAAGTGGCCGATGCTTAGAATTAAACTTAAAGCATGCTTATCTCTCGCTTAATCTCTATATATTAAAGTTAGCTAGGCCATCTATATAAATAAATTAACAGACCTGCGAACACTAATGTGTTGGTCTGGAGGAAGCATGTACAAATTAGTTAAATTGAAAGTTGCGTCCAGTTCAATATAAATTTTCTCATTTTGATATAAATTTAGTTTCAAATTTAATTATGCCAACGCACTAGCAATTGACATATTATTAAATTTGACCTTTCCGCATTACTAAAAATTACCAACCATACAAAACAGTCTCTTCCGTCTCCCATGGCTACACATAACTTTCAGCGGACAACCCGACTTACTGCTGGGAGCTGCAAAAACAGGGCCGGTTACAACGATAACAACATGGGCGAAAGTGTTGCCAGTACACGAAAACTTTTGCCTGGGAAAATTAAATGGCAGATTCGAGCGGAGACGAGCGGTGCTAGTGGTCGTCGTGGGTGGCTGGCATGCGAAGTTGAGTGCTGCAACCGCAGCAGTGCCCAGGCGGGTGGGTGGCCAACAAAATACTCTTACAAAACCGCATAATTATCATGAACGCAAGAAATAGAGCAGCGGCTACCAAGAAGAAGAAGATGATGTAGAATAACAGGCGTTGAGGGCGCCACGGAACAGGAAGTGTTTGGTTGCGGCCAACCCAGGACAGCAATTCTGTGGGCATATCGCGCAGCTTGTTATATCAATGCTGGCATAAAATTTAATAAGCGCTTTATTATATTATAACAGCAACAGCAGCAGCAGCATCAACACCAACAACTAGGACAATGACTACACATAGCCTGGGCATCATGAGCCAAAGTTCGTTGGCAAGCCGAACCGGACACTTGTTGAAGCTGTTCCTATGCTTGCTGCTGCCGCTGCTCCTGCTCCTGCCCCTGGCCCAGCTCCAACTCCTGCTCCTGCTCTTGCTCGCTCTACCACGTTTAAGCCACGCAAAAGTGTTAATTGTTTAAGGTAAAATCTGTGTAGCATAATTTCGGGCGTGCTCCTCGCAACTTTGCCTTGCCGGAGCAAAAAGTTTTGCTCGAACTCGAACATTCACACTAACCACAACCGCCGCCCACTCGTTATAATTATACTATTAGATTTTTGGCGCGTTGAGCTGGCAAATTGGGTGCTGCATCAGCAAAGCTGGTAAATTCTGGTAAGCGTCCTTTTTTGTTATTCGTTCTGCTGAGCACGACATTTGGAGTATTTTAAACGAAACGATTAACGTGGAGCTTTTTGCATACGCTTCATTAGCTTTCATTGCGAGAATAGTTAAATTCTTGTGCTTGGACACTCGAAGCTCACCTGTCCCACACGGCAGTCGACAAATTGTGCTTCTCATAAATCACTCACGCCAAGTCTTACAACAACAACAGCAGGAGAAGCCTCCATAACGAGAAGCTTAATTAAATTGCATTAAGTTGGCTTTGGGGTTTTCGGTTCAGCGGGCAATTGTTTGTTAATGAAAGTGCCATAATTTATGCAGGCGCTGATTTTAATTCATTGCTGTGGCTTTAACATTTTGCAAATCCATTTTCCATTACACACACACATGCACAGTTATGACAGACGTGCAGAGCGCTGGGTGTTGCTGGGAGGCATCTTCTCGTAGTGTGGCAATTATTGACAACGACTTGATGGCGTCACGCAATTTCCGTTGATGCGTGCCAACGCAATTATGAAAATTATGCGCCTGTATCCTGTGTGCCGACTGCACCGAAGTCCTCGCAGTTGTCTCGTGTCTCCTGTCGCCCTCACAAATCAGTCAGGCGTACAGATAATGTCAGACGTAGTGGTTTAGCAAAGCAAAAAAAATTCATAGCCTGATTATGGAGGAAACCCAACCATTCTTCAGATGACATCTGATGAAGGCTGTTAATGCGGCTTTTGTGCGTCTGGTTGTAGTTGACTTGAGCCTGTTAGCAGAGAAATAGATAGAGAGAGAGAGATGGGAAAGGATAGCAAACACGACGGGAAAGAGGATGTCTCCTCTCTCTCTCTCTCTCTCTTTCTCCCTCTTTCTCTGTGTATGTGTTTTGTCAGCAATACTTGGCAAGTGAGCTTCAATTTCAATGGCATTTAAGTGTGTCGTCGTCGTAGTTGTTGCTGTCGTCTGTCCTCCTGCGGCTGTTGCATTTGACACATAAGTGGTCTTTAATGATATCAAACTTCATGCGTTGCTTTCATTGCAATAACAGTTGGCTCCTCTCCTGCTCCCACGCCGCCTCGCCAGTTAGCATGTCAAACTTTTCCATACTGCTGTCACTGAGTCCTTTCATTTGCAGTCTTGTTCAACAGATAAAAAGCCCGTAGCAGCTAGAGCAGACAAACAGAAAAAGGATTTGACTCCGTGTAGGCAGCCCAGCATCCTAAGGTTCATCGAAATAAGTTCAAGTTGCACTTACATTTGATGAAGTGTATGTGATTTATTAAAAGCATGGTTAATTCAAACCAAGAGTCAAATTATGCTCGTGCCTCCCATCGCTAGCTCAAGTCAACAGTTATGCTTATGCCTCCTTCTAATAATTATCATTCTCCCATGACCAATCCATTATTTGCCTTAAAGTCTGCCAATTGCCACGGCCACAATCTGAAAGTTTCAGGCAATTATTGTGTTAAAACTTTTCATCTAGCAGAAGGTATACCACTATGAAATACCCTGTCTAAAAAATAATGAAGTTGAGAAATGTGGGATTCTTTACTGAATGACTGCTCATAATAATAACTGTGACTTTAGACCAATAATCGCTGCTAGCCTAAAGTCAAGCTGCTCTGCTGATGAGCCGTTGATATTGCCGCTGAAAATCGCAGAGCTTGCTGCGGTTTGCGGCCAGTGGGCAGCAGCTGCCAGCGACCCTTGTGAATTTGAAAAGTGCTTAGCCATGACAAAACCTTTTTTCCACTTAAAGGCCACTCGGCTAGAGCCAAGAGTTGGGGTGGCAGTTCGCGCCCAAGCCGCATTATTTCCAACCGCCTGGCCAGCAGCTACATTCAATGGCAGTTTTATGCGTCCGTCTCGAGTTTTCCTTGCGCGCCTTTTCAATAATGAAAAAATGTACGAGCGCTGAATTTTCAAATGATATAAACGTGAACGGGCAGCGACAAGGTGGGGGCGCGCTTGTGCGCGGCAGACAACTACATTCGCAAAGGAAATAAGGGAAAGCAAAGTTTGGAAAGTGGACGTCGAAGTGGAAAAGGCAAATTAAATTATTTCTCATGAAAATGCGGCAAAGGCGGCAAGCGGCAAGCGGCAAGCGACGGCAGCAGACAACGAAGTCGACTAAATTGAAAAGCGTTGACGGAAATAAAACTAAAATGCGTTGCGCGTGGAAAATTACAATTAAATTGACTTTACCGACGATGCGATAAAAGTAAATTAGCATAACTTAAAGAACAACCAATCGAATTGTCTTAATGTAATGTCGTATATATAGATGTATCTTATCTTTAAGTCGCTTCTAGCTGCCTGCTTATCGTACTACCTAGCTCAACTGGCTTTTGTTATTAATGCCACTTGGCAGCTTTGCCTGTCCACTTCAGGTGAAGTGGTCGCTGCACCTGCACCGAGCTACTGCAGATTCCTACGCCCACTCGCTACTTGTCGCTGCAGTGCGTCTTATATTTCTGTGAGCATAATAAAGTGCAGCAGTCAACCCGGCTGGCAGACAAGCAGCCCTCGTCGAGGGTTTCGGGCCAGCAACAAAGCGTAAAATGTGAATAGACTTCATGACTGTAGCTGGACTATGAAAAAGTTCAAGTCGGGCGCGTGTCGGGCATGCAAAAAACGAATAAAAAAAATCAAATAAAAAGGAAAAATAAACAAGCAAAAACCAAAAACAAAAGCAGCAAGCGTGTCCTGACTGGATAATTGAAAGCAACTTTGCGACTTCGCCCGCATGAAATTGGCTACAGCTTTTCTTTTTTCTTTTTATTATTTGTTACCATTGTTGTTGTCGCTGTTGGCTGCTGTTGTTGTTGCTACCATTGTCTTTGGTACATACAGTAGTTGCTCCACACGGAAATTGAAATGTCAAGTGCGCTGCCATGTGTGAGCGAGCGGAGCCAAGGATCTCAGGTACAGGTCGACTTTCGGGCCAAACTGCATTTTATGGCCTCGCCTGGCGCTTCGTCTGCCCATCAGCTGACGCCGCTTTTAATGGCCTTAATTGTCAGTAGAATACAAAGAGAGAGAGAGAGAGAGAAGGGTATTCATTAAACAGAGCTCTTAAGCATTTCACCTTGTGCCGATATTGTGCGCCGGTTCAGCCAGCAGCCAATGATCCTGGCCACTCGTCGCTTATCCTGGCGACTCGCGGTTGAAATGCTGTTTGCCTAATGGAAAATACGTGCTTCTGCATAATTGGATTTTTTGATTTCAGTCGCATTCCGGCAGTTAAGAACCACAGAACCATCCCATTGCAGTATGTAAATGTTTTCCAACGGCTTTACAAATTGCTCTCAATGTCACATGCGGGGTTTTGGGCATTTGTGTATTGCAAAGCTTTGACAGTTTAACCTCTAAATAATATACTTAGCGATAGTTAAAAATTGAGATAAATATTGAAAATATAACCCATCAATATTATTCATACTGTTGACCTAAATGGATTAATCAAATATTATTGATCAAATATTACACTTATTGGGAGGAAAATTAGTAAATTTGAAACAAGCTTTCCAGCTAAACTTATCTAAAGAAAGATCAAGTACGAAAACATAAACTTTATTAACTTAACTAAACTGAAAATACTTAAATTTAGTTATCGCATTTACTATGAAAACTCAATGCGGTCAATCAAGTGAATAGATTAATTTTATAAATTTCTTTTGAATTTACTTAAAGCTCTTTGAAAAATCTTAGTACTTAGCACACTGCTCTTATCTAGAATTATTGTATGAAATGTATTTAAGTCCCCAAATTTTCAAAGCCAAAGACAAATATTACGTAACACCAATGCCCAAGACCAATCAGAATAGATCAATCAGAGTAGATCAGGTTACAAATATAAATCTCTTACAAAGTCTATGAGGCCAACTGTATCTGGGCTATTCTTATATTTTTTTTTTCATTCAATTTACTTATTTATTTATTAAGCTTCTATTAATTGTGTAAACATACTTATAAATGTAATTTGCCTCATTTTGCCTATGTTGTCTGTGGTTTTCTTTCTAGTCCTTCTTCGAAGTCCTAATGTCTCAATTTCATGAAACTTATATAAGCTCAATTTCATTTGTATAACAAATAGAATTATCTTGTCAAAAAATTGATTGATAACTAAATATATATAAAATATATAATAAAATACAATAGTTTGTGTTTGGTTCTGAGTTTTCTTCAATTTTTGTTTTAGCAAAAAGGATAGAGTAATCCTGATTTGCTTTAGCTTGTTTTTATAGTTCATTGAAGGACTTGATTTATAGTAAAGAATTCGCATTTGAGACTTAAGCCGATTTTTATCCAAAATTGAGTTTGACAACTTTAATAGAATGCAAAATATTCTGTTAGCATCTGCTATAAGATGTATTCGGCAGTCGTCATATCACGAAAGGCAAACATGATAAATGCCCAAGCGAAAAAAAAAACAAGGAAAATAAAGGTGACAATTTCGAGTATATAAAATATATACGTGGCAGTTGAGTTGTGCTCTTTCTTTTCGCACTTATTTCTATTAAATGTCGCCGGGACACATGTTGGTTAGAGTTTATTGCAATTTACTGACTCGGCACGTGACAAACGAGCCGCACGTTTCTCTCATTGTACGCGACAAAGAGACTGACGCACACGGATCACACATACGCAGCGTTGCCCCCGCCTCCGTAGCAGTTGGACATTTATCGTGACGTTATTTATAGCTCACCAGCAGCCCCGCACGATGTTGCCAATTTTTTTTGTCTCATCTTAATAACCATGCATTAATTTGGTGAACAAGCTTAGACTTGCGGAAGCAAAAGGGCATCCATTGAAAAGTGCAAATAAATCATAACATGGACTATAATATGACTAAACATATTGACATTGTCTTAGTTGCTACACATGGACAGTATATGTTGTCAGCATACTTGACAGCTTCTCGATTTGTTTTCTGTTGTTTGAACAACTGTCAACAGAGCAGGACGAAGCACCACACACACTTTTGTCCATATACATAACCAAATCACAGCACAGCACAGCACAGCCCAGCACAGTCGAGGCATACTTATTATAAGGTAAATATGGCAGCTTGTTTGCTTTCCTGTGTCTGTTTGCTCGGCATAAAGCAGAGTCTGCATGGTTAGTTATGCTGCTTCGTCCTCATTGTTAAGCATGCTTACTTCAAATTCAAGCACAAATATTATTAAATATCATACTACAGATGCTGGTTAATGTAAATACCGGGCTGCCTGTTAACTCCTGCTACTCCAAACGTTTTGTATACTTTGGGAAACCAATTCAAAATTTCATTTCACGCCTGGTCTTAAGTACTATAGCATAAAATGCTAGGAAATTGATCAAATTTCAATCACATTTTTTTTCAAGCAATGATTCATCAAATTTGGATAATTATTTTAATGACGCTATTGGCTCAAGAGAAACGTCTCTTTCAAGGCACCTCATTAGTGTACATGAGTATTACAATGCTCAACATCAACCTGGAGCTTATCGGCTTATATATAAAAGGCAAGTTAATTGTTGGTTCTAGTTGAACCAGTGAAATGTTGGGCAAAAGGTGTCTAGTTTTGCTGGCTCTGTGCCTGTTAAATGGAGTGTTCTCGCATGCCTCGGTTCTCGCCAATAATAATCAATGGTACGACTATCGTTTTGTTCGGGACTTTACAAAACATTTGCATTCGCGGCATAATTTTCATGGTTTAGTTACGTTTTCTGAATACCAAAATTTAATAAAGCCATTGCGAAGTGAGCATTATTTGAAGTCACTAGAACGATTTCTGGCTGAGAATCTACCAATACCCCTTCTCATTTGTGGCATGCAGACTACGGATACTCTGAGGGGTATAATATCGAAGCAAGACTTGATCCTTTGTACCATACACAGCTTGAAGGCAGAGCAGGAGCCCATGCTCAAAGTTGTCCACGAGAAGTTGGTTGGTCTTCATGATCTACGCATTCTCTTCATACTCAACACAGATGAACGGCTTAAGCCTTCAATGAAGCAGCTAAATAAATTCTTTCATTGGTGCTGGAGCCATAAATTTATCAATGTCGCCTTAACTTACCAACGGATCATATATAGCAACGACAGCTTCACTACGCATAATGAGCTCTTCAGCTACACACCTTTTCCCACGGTCCAAGTTTCTAATGTGACGAACATGGGCGTTACTTACAACTGGGAGGCTATAGACCTCGACAATGTACAGGGCTATGAATTTCGTGTGCCCGTTTTTCAGGACTGGGCTTACGCTTTCTTGGTAAGTGAGCCGAGACTTTTGACAATAGCGTTTACTTATCTCAATTGTCTCTTTGCCAGCTGCCAAATGGTAAGCTATATGGAATTATTGGCAAGCTTGTTTCTGGCTACATAGAGCATTGCAATGGCAGCCTGCGTCTGGAGGGAACACCTGATGTCAACCGGTATAATTACCACAATCGCACGTTGATGTGGCCAGCTCTGGGCATCATCGATATCGGTGTACATCCGTTTACGCATATGATACTCAATTCAAGCCAGGCTGAGGGCATTGCATTCTTGTCTCATACGAAAACCTGCCTGATGGTACCCGTGCTGAGAGCGCTGCCGCTCGATAGATTTATAGCCTTTGTTTTTCATCACAATGGAACCTTATTGTTGGCGATATTACTGTTACTGATGCTGGGCTGGCACCTCGCTGCCCGCGATTGTTATAAAGGATTCTTCTTGGCCTTGACCGTGTTTAATATGCAGCCGGTTAGCGAAAATATGTTCAGACGCTTCAGCAATACGTACAAAATGGTGCACGTGGCTATACTGTTTAGCTGCTTCATAGCTTGGAATGAGAGAACTGGAGCTCTAACGAGGGCCATTGGCCTCGACACCAGGCCACAACAGATTTATAATCTTGCAGACTTCTTAGAGTCTCAACTCCGCATCATGGTAACTGAAGGTGAAGTCGAAATGTATTTTGATAACGAACTGCTGCCAAAAGCGTTGAAGGCGCGCCTGCTGGTGGTCAATGCATCAACTGTATTACAGCACCGGAATAGCCTCAATACGAGCTATGCTTACTGCGCCAGTGATGGAGCATGGAGGGTGGTTTCATTTCAACAGTCTCGACTTGATCGTCCACGGTTTCGCCGCCTCGACCCACATATCTGCACATCGCCCACCATAAGACAGATCCCCATGAGTCGGAACTCGCCATTTAGGGAGAAGTTATATCAGTTTTATATGAACATGCGCATCAATGGCTTTTACACTAAATGGGAAGAGGAGAGCTTTAGGAAAGCGGCCCGAGCGGGCTTAGTTCAGGTCTTTTCGGAAGTGAAGGCATTCGCCAGCATGAATCTCAACGACTATATGATATTGATAAAGAGTTACTTCATATGCATTGGAATCTGTGTCTTGTGCCTGATATGCGAAATTATTTGGAAGAACCGAGGCAATCTAAGAGCACATAGTTATTAAATATGTAATCAATGTATCCACAATGAGGCACAGCTGTTAAAATGACCACATTTAATTAATTCAATTATCTCTATCTATATCTACTGTTGTAACATTCTGATTGACTTATATTTTTAATGAAACTTTGAATGTCAAGTGAAGAAAAATATTCAGCTGCCGGAAATCTTGCTTCTATTTAAGATATGAGAGGAGAACCACGTTATGAACTTCACATGCTTGCTTAAGAAAAAATCATTTACTTTTGAGGTTGCTTCTGTAACTAAACTTGGCTGAATTACATTAACAATTAGGGCTCAATATGAACTGAATAGCTGAAAAAAATAAATTATTTATTGATAGCCTACGACAGCTGTGCTCGGAGATAATCATCACAATTTATCATCATAATTGGACAGTTTGCCTTATCGATGAATAATTTGAATTGAAGAATTGAATATAATGTTAAATCTATGTTCGCGTCAGACTTTTCATAAATCTTATAATAAAAAGCTGTTGTTCTGGACTTCATTGCTTTTGCAGATAACGTTTCCGTTTCTACATTCGGGACTAAAACTGAAGCGAAAAAGCTGTGAGGGCAGTATTTCATAGTAAATTGAATAACTTTCTTTGACTTCCGTTGTTTTGCTGGGATACAGAAACACACACACACATACACACACCCATACACACATAGTTAAAAGCTTTCACTAGGCATTTTGGAACGTTTGCTAGATGACAAATAACTGCTTAGCTTGCTTCAGTGCACAACACAGTTTTATACACTTAGTCACACACATACGAACACACAAACAAACACACACACACACTCAATCACACTGGATAGTCGGCACAGAGTCGTCCTAGCAGAGCAACAATGTGTCTTCGTTTCCGTCATGGCTTCTATTTCCGGCTAACGAATTTTAGGGAGCTGCTCACGTGTCCTTTTTATAAAAATGAAATGAATCCGGGTGGACTTTAGCTCAGCAGGGTATGACTAGAAGATGCTCTATATATTTTGATTATCATACAATATTATCTATTATCTATTATTAAAAAACTAAAATCTAGTTCTAGAGTACGAAAACTATGACTTAAACTGCCAACAGATAGAAGATCATTTCAGCTCTTGAGTGCTTATTGAAGCAAACTTAGATAAGCTCAAGAAGAAGTGTAGATGTCTGACTCTCCCTAATGGCTGTAGGGCATATGAAGAAAGCCTCGCAAATACCACTAGGCATGTGGAACTATCTGAATGCTCGTATGCTTTTGCCCATGCTTTTGTATGAGAAAGTAAATTGATTGAAATGGCCAGCAGCTAATGCCTCGGGCACACACAGAGCGCGTCGGCAGAGCAAGAATTTTGCTGGCGTTTCGTTTAGACCGAATCTCTCGAGGTCCTTTTCAGCCGCTTTTTGTATGTTTTTTTTTTTGTTCTTTTTGGCATCACAGTTTATTGCTTGTGCTGATTGTCGGTTCGCTTTGTTGGCATTTTTCTACAATAAAAAGAAAAGAAAGTATATATTTTGTCCGGCTTTGACTTCCGTTTTGTCTTCGACCGCTGTCCAATTTTCATTATTGCCTGACCGCTCTCTGTTGTTGCTATTTTGCTTCCGTCTGGCCAGTAAATGGCATCATTATCATCTTGGCTCACCCGCTGCGAGGATAGATAGATAGATAGAACCATGCTCCATTCCCTTTGCCGAATTACTTACATGCCTCGTACTATTTGACTGCTTAATTTGTTTGCTATTTATGAGCTTTGATTCTTGTTGTAGTTGTTGTTGTTTCGGATTTGTTACAAACAATTTGCCAAATTAATTGAGTTTGCTTTGTCAAATTTATGCTAACTACAATATCCAATAACAAGCCTTAATTAGCAAAGGACCGCCTTGGCCGTAGCTTCGACATCGGTCAGATTTGCTTGACTGTAGTTTATGGATAAGCTACAAAATAAACAACAACTAGAAATTATGTTACAACTTTGCCCGACACCGCCTCCAACAGGCGGCAACTGTGGAAACAGCGGAAAACTCAATTGGAAAGTTTGTTGTTCATTTCCGTGCGCTGGGCGGTCTGCAGCCGGATGCGGGAGGTGTCGACCGGCAGGGAAGTGCATTTGAATCTAATATTGCGTTCGCAGTTCCGCATTTTCCGCTGGGTCCCGGACAAAGTTCGAGCTCGCAGCACGCCCACTGACAGTTGCAACTATTGGCCCCAACGCAGCTGCTGCTCGCGTAACTGGGCTAAAACTGCGACTGGCTGCAATTATATAGTTGCAGCAGAGGTTGTGTTGCTGCTGCTGCTGCTGCTGTTGAGCATAAATTAAGTTTGCGTCTTTTTATTCGCTTTTAATTCACATTTTATGCAGTCCCTGGCCAAGCAACAACGTTGTCTGCGATGCTGGCGCATCGTCGACGTCATTTAGTGCGTTGTCGCCGCTTTGTTAATTCAAAAACTTTTAATAACTTTACTTTTCAGCACGGACGGCGCAACAGGCATGCAACAAGTGTGTGTGCTGCATCTGTGCGTGCAACTTGCACTTGACTCTATCATAATTGTATTTTTACTCTGTATATAGTTATCACAGAGTTTGCATACTTTCAGGCAAAGTGCAGCAGCTCAACTTTTAAGTAATCACTTAGGCAGCTTTCTAATTCTATTGCAGCAGCTTTTGAGCATTATTGCTTGAGTTTAATCAACTTCCAAGAGACAAAAATATGGCTTTATATTTAGTAATTAAATTAAGAAAACTATAAATTAAATAATCCCAAGGGCCAATGAAATTGCTTGAGCAATGTGCAGGCTGACAAGCTGATCCATAAACGCCAGGAGCTGACCCCTCGTCCCAGGTCTCAGCAGCCACTCAAGCTAATTCAATGCGAAGCCTCTACACTCACACACGCACACAATGGGCATAGTGTGGCGGCGACATAAAGCTGGCAACAAACACGGCACTTGAAAAACTCACACGGTCGAGTTGCAAGTGGAGCAAGTGGAACGTGGGCAGAAACAGGCAAAAAACAGCAGCAGAAACTCAGGAGCTGCCCAACTGTGCCAGCCACTTATGTACTCCATGTCACGTTGATATTGTTGTTATAGCAGCGCTGTAGTTGCTTTAGCCACTTTTATTCGAGCTCATAATTTGTCAAAGCTAGCGCAATAACAACTTGTCTCTGACAGCTGTCCCAGCGAGTTCATTGCCGTTCCACTGCCAGTAAATGCATACATAGTCCATGCATATACATACTCGAATATACTGCTATGTGCGTCCGCTGCTTCGAACGGGTCAACAGGCTCATAAAATGCTCATTGATGGAAACTTGATTGCTGTCAACTCAGATTGATAATTAGTCGCGCAACCACACAAAACACGAGTCCAACTTCATAATTCAAATTTGACGGAACGAGCTTTTGAAGCGGTCTAATACAAATTTATGGCATTGTGGTTCACTGGTTCGGTGGTTCAGTGGTTAGCCGGCGGACAACTTTCTGGCGACAGGGCAAAGTTGGCAGCAAAAGCTTCGTTACCATTGCAAATTGCACAATTTACAACGTCAGCAACAACTACGAGGACTGCGACTGTGCAGCACATAAAGCACATCATGAGGCAATATATTAGAGTCCAAGTGCTCAGTTTCCGTCACCAAACGACCATTGGAGTCCAGTGGGAGTGGCAAGTGGCTTAACTAGGGGCGAAAGAATAACAGTAGTTCAGTGGCTCCGGCCAACGGCATATGGAAATGTTTAAAGGAACGACAGACTGGTATATATATATGTATATGTATATAATAATAAAAGTTGTAAAATTTTTTTTGCGTTTAAAAAATATAGTTCTTTTCCGTATTGCGTTTGCACTTGTCAAACTTAACGTTGAAGTGAACTTGCTGCAGCTCCAGTGCCCACCTGGCAATCCTTCCTAAAGAGCTCTCGATAGAATTGAGCCACTTAAATGCCATGTGGCACACAGTGAATTCCTCTAGATATTGCCACAGTTTTCAGATGACCAGAGACTCCTTTTCGGTGGCCAAATAGTTCCGCTCTGCGGTCATACTATGTCCACCGCTCTCCAACGTCAGAGGCCTGGCCAGGGTCGCCCTAAATATCCGTTTGCAGTCAACATGACTACGATAAATGTGGCCAAAACGTGCAAATACCATGCTCCGCGTCTTCTCTTCCTTCTGACTGCCTCTTGCAGACCGAACCCATATAACACAGCGAAGGCTGGGTCATGTGAGACTTGTGGAAGGAGAGAGGTAATCAGTAAACTTAGGTAAACACAAAACTAATATGCTCTCTTCACTTCATCTACGAGAGTCTTTGAGTCCAGCAAGCGGCACTACGTTTTAGGTATAAATTTCAGAGCGGGGACTGGTCCAATAGAATTGGATCTGTAAGAGATTTAGATTTGAAAGAAGATTTCGTTCCGTTTTCCCTCTATGCTTCACATGCTTCTCTCGCTTTATCATGCTAAGCTGGCATTTATCGTGTGAATAAGATGGAATAAACTGACTATATAACATGTATATAGCTGTGGCCAGCAGCAGAAGCATGCCTTGAAAGTGAAAATATATTTTATATATTTAAATTTCTTTACATTGACCTAAAGCTACTCAAAACAACTCAGTAGCTCGAGAGGTCGACAGCTCGACAGCAATGTTAAATGTATCAATAAAAGCAATAAAATTACCTTTTCTGCAGCATTGCTTTGTGTATTTTATGTTATCTATAAAATTAATGTCAAGTGGAATGCTGTATGGGCAAGTGAAGCCTTGCATTTATCATGATGCACGCAGCTGATGCTGATTTGATTGTGCATTAATCAAAGCAACAAATTCACCTACTCACAGGAACACATTGGTGCCTTAGCTATTTTTGCATGTCCTTCGCATATTAAGTAGATGCTTTGTCGTTTATTGCGCATGCAAACAGCTATAAGCGTATATTGCTTACATAATTTAACGCACATTTTCATTCATGTCTGGCGGGCACTCAGTTGCCCATCTTGATCCGGCCTGGTCAAGTCCACGGCCCACAGACGTACACATGGCTGCACACATGCTCCGCCAATGAGGCATGTTTAATGATTATTGCATTTCTTATTTTTATTTATATTTATCTTGGAGTTGGCCGTGGGCGCATACGAATTTCGCTAACCACCGCTGGCTATATTTTGCTTATACCCTATACCCATGGCTGAAGAGAGTTTATGCAGTCAACAGAAATACTGTGAGATGTGTATAATTTCTGACTCTGAACCAATTTGATTAAGCTTTATTAATAATTATTAATATAATTATACAATAAATGGAAATTCTGGCTATATTTTTCTTAAATTGCAAAAAAGCAAAGGAGGCATAGCTGCTCCTTTAAACTTTCATCGAACTATACCAATAAGTATGTATATATTAGATCAGCTTCAGCTATATCATATCAATTTTTAGCAAGGTCCGCTTCAGCTATAACATATCATTCAGTTATATCACATCAGAATACTTCAAAAGCAAGATTTATCAAAATATGCCAACATATTAAGGGTATTTCCCCGTCGTGCACTCCCCTTTGCTCTGCTCCCGCTTAATTTTTTCTTTCTCTTTTGTCTTGAACACTGTTTTTATGACCGTTAAGGAGTCAAGGAACAGTTATTGTTGCTATATGTAGTTGTTATTATTTTGTTGTTGGTGCGATGCCCAGGGTCCATTTGTTTTTTGGCATTTAAGAGACAATGGGCATATTTTCGCAATATAAGCAGCTTAGCTAGAGTCGCGGGAGTTATGTTACCAACTGGCCTAAGCAACATCCGTATTTATGGCTGTCTAATGTTCTGCTGCCATTTGTTGTGCGCTTAAGCCAACATAACGTCCGTATATAGTGCACGCATATGTACATATGTCGGCCGGCTCTGAAATTGATGGGCTCATCAACTGTGGTCCAGTTTTGTGGCACAATGAACTTTCAGTCTGTAAGCTGCTTGACCCAGCCGAACGCAGTTGCAGCTTCTCGACAAATGAGCAAAAACTGCAAAACTTCCGCTTGCACATCGAGGAGAGTGCCGGAAATCGCTGTGCACCACTGGCATCTGAGTCTGTCTGCCCAAACATGTCGCCAGCTTGGTGCCCACTTAAAATAAATTCGAAGCAAAAAGTTTGCCTTAGTCTCTTTACCCAGTAAAATACATACATGAGCTGACAAGCTAGCGTTGCAGTTAATAAACCTTATTATTTTTTGTTTCTTGCTAGTTACACTTATATATGAATTGTTATTATAGATGATCAAGTTGGAAATGCTCTAAGATCAGCAGAAATACTTATGTTCACAACACGAACCATCAGCTCGCTTCATGCTTTAATGCTTCCGGCTTTTAATTTTAATTTTTGTATGCTAGACACAAGCTAAAACTTAAAAAAAAAAAAACACGGGGTTCCGGGTATATCGTAGTCGGACACCCCTGACTAGAGTTTTTTTTTTATAAATTCGTTCAATGAGAGAAATGCCAGTCATCGAATGTTTTATTAGCGGATTTATTCTATTTAGATACGGTTAATCGTCAAATAAAATCTGGTTCCTGTATTCATCCTTTTAATACATAAAATCTGATTTAGCTTATGTGATTATCTGAAATATGATAATTTTATTTGACTTATTTGGTTATGTTTTTCTTTATATAATTAAACTTTAATGAGTTCATACAGTTCATACATAGAGTATATACACTTCGTTGCTTTCAGCTTATCTTTATTCAAGTTTTTTTTTTCCTTTTTTGGTTTTGAAACGGCTTCAACTCTTCAAGTTCAGAAAACAAAAGAAAATTTTGAAAAGTTTAGCTGGCTGCCGTAGCAGAAGCTTATTATCATTGTATGTAATGATGTCTGAACTTGAAGTTTAAGTTAGTTAAATTCTCCTCTTTGGCGGTATGATATCTTGCCCGAGCCCGAACTCTTTAAGCAAAATGCATTTTTTAACCGAGCTTCAACTCGTGGTGCATCTTGTGGGGTGTTTAACATGAGTGTGTGCCTCAGACATACAGGTGCTTCAGAGGGTCAGTGTGATTATACTAAGTTGAGAATAGAGGTAATGCCATTGTATTGGAATTGCTAGACAAGAGTCGATGGAAAGGACCGGAGTTTTCGTACAGCCACTAGTTACAAATACAAATTTTGAGTCCTTGTTTAAATATTTTGTATACTTATATATTTTGTGTACTGTGTTGCTCTTTTTATTAATTTACAAACATAACCCGATTGAATTATTATTACTTTCTTTATAATTTGATTTACCATTTATATAACTATAAGCTAGTTTATTATTTATGAATACATAACAAAACAATTTATCAAATAAGTTGAAATTTAAAAATTTATGCGTTATTGCCAATTAATTCAGACTAACTTCGATGAAGGTTTGGTTACGGCTTTTTGTATTTTTTTTTTTTGATAAGCAGTGTGGGCAAATACTAAGCTGTGCACACATTTTATTTTATTTTTAGTTTGAGCTCTTCTCGGGCGAGGCATTGGATTGTGGGAGTGAAACTTGGAATCGATTTTTAATATGTATGAAACACGACAACTGCGAGCAGATCGGAAAGTGTCTAATTTAAAATAAACTATTTTAAAGATACATGTACGCATATACATATTCATATATAAATATAGAGGCTATTTAGTACTGATTGCTTACAATTTAAATCTATTCCTGATTCAGGTTCTTGATCACGTAATTAACAATGAGTGCAAATATTGCAAAACAGATTATGATCACCAGGTTCGAATAGATCGACTGCCAATTTAAATAGGAATTACGTGCACTATTTTTGAGCGCTGTAGCACCCCCACTGCCAACATCCGCGGTAGCAGCTGGAGCAACAGATCTTCCATCACTGGTGCTAGCATCCGTTGGCAATGGCAGTTGCCCATTGGCACTTCTGGCATTTTTGTTATGGTTCTCATTCGGAACGGCACTGCCGTTAGCCAACCCGTTCGGTCGTGAAGAAGAGCTGGTACCTGGCTTACTCGCGTTGCCGGTTGCTTGGGTACCCTGTAAGCGTAACTTTATCTCGCTGACAATGTCTGGAAAAAGTTCACAGAAGTTTGCGTTGCGCAGGTTAAATGCAAGCGATTTCTGAGCAAACATCTGCTTGTCATAGCTCGTAGACTCTATGGAGCCCAGTGTGGGTGTGCTCTCTAGCTAGAAAGTTAAGGATTAGTTAGCCATATCGAATGACAGCAGAATTATTATGCAGAGACCTTACCATAAAGCTTAGAAGCCCTGTCAAAATGGTACCCACGCACCAAGTAGGATTCCATGTGTCGGGATGAAAGTCTAGAAGGAAAACACAGCTTATTAGCAACTATTAAAGGCATTTCTAACTTATGACAGTCAAGGATTACCTGAAATGCTTAAACACAGTCTGGTATTTGTTTTGAAGCGTCCATTCGGCGTTAGCATATATATAGATGGCGGCTTGAAGGGAAACTCCCGTGGAAAGAGCAGTGTTCCGTGATAGTATCCTCCATAATACGGTGAGTCCTCAGGTCCTTTAACACAATAGTGCCATTCCAGAATGTTGTTCGGCAGCGGCTCAGCGGTAATGTACGGCAACGGGTCGCGCTTCAAGCGCATGTAATCCTGTTTCATTCGCGATACGGCAGTGGGTTGCTTGCGGGAAGCGGACCCGGACGCCGTCGACGAGGACATTTTCGCTTAATAATTTTTGACCCGATTGCTGCTACTTGAAATGAAACTGTTGCAACAACAATAAAAATATGTTGACATATATTACATACGCACACCAATTATTCGACACAACATCAAATTAGGCTGATAACAAAAACATTGTTAGACTGTATATTTGTGTAGGTGGGCGTAGGTGTCATACGCACACACACTCATGACCCAAGAACGGATGTGCAAAAAATACACGTGGCAAATTGCATTGGGGGTGTGGAATTCCTTAAGCTCGTCAGCCGTAAGAATTCGCCCACACTCAAAAATGCAATGTTCAACTTGCTGCTCAGCTGGTGTGCGCTTGCACACGGATGGTTAGCTATGTATCTATATGCGTCGTAGCTTTTGTCAATTTTTTTGTTTGTTTGGCTCACCCACCTCGCAAATTGTGTGTTCCTTGTTGTTGCTATCGTAATTGCAATTACAGCTAGGTCACAGCTGCCCAGCGAAAATGTGTGAAAACAACACAAGCACAGAGTGTTAAAATAAGTTGCATTCGACTTTGGCCTGTGCTATCCGAAGCTTTTGATTTATGTTTTCTCTAATGTGCGATCTTAGTTTTGGCTTACTCTATTACTTAATTATAATATAATTGAATGTAAATTTATTTGTAGCTCGTAAAATTGCAATAAGTATTGTAAAAATTTCTCTTGACGTCGTTCTAAGTAAATAAAGTTGTAAAGCGAATCAAAACAGTGTTGGGTAATTTTGCTTGGTTGTCTTTCGATTAATCGTTCAAATTTGGTATTTTTTGGTGCTGCCACTTGGTATTATATTCAAATTATCAGCAAATATTTTATTTAAAATCTAATATAACGTATATTATTTGGATGATCAAATTTATTCATTTTAAAGTGGAAACGCATAATAAAATAAATTCGAGCATATCTACTCTCTAATAGAAAACTGGACAATAATGTGTTTGTTGTACCCTCCCAGCTGATAAAACGCTATGCAATATTTATACGTATACAACCGCACAAAAGATAAGAACCGAATACGATTGGAGCATAGAACTTTTAAAGGGTAAGGAGGGGGACTACGACGTACCAAAAACAAGATTGCTTATCAGTGAGATTAATTTACCAATGGAACAGATGAACAACAAACAGTCACTGCATCGACAGTGAAAAGATCAGTCAGTGTTCGCATTTCAAAATGGCATCTATAGGCAAAATCGGTTTTCTGGGAGGCGGCAACATGGCCAAAGCTTTGGCAAAAGGATTTATAGCCGCAGGTCTGACCAAACCCAGCGGTATTATTGCTAGTGTACATCCAGCAGACAAGATCTCCCAGCAATCCTTTCAATCGCTGGGTATTGAAACACTTGTAGAGAACACGCCCATTGTGGAGAAATCTGAAATTGTTTTTGTGTCTGTTAAGCCGCAAGTTGTGCCCATGGTGCTAGCAGATATCAAAGCTGTAAGCGCCAATAAGCTTTTTCTATCTGTGGCCATGGGCATCACATTGAAGGCACTCGAGTCCAGTTTATCCCCGCAGTCGCGTGTAATACGCGTCATGCCCAATACCCCGGCGCTGGTATGCTCTGGCTGTTCAGTGTATGTGCGTGGCAGCCAAGCGACCGATGCAGATGCGCAGATCACCCAGCGACTACTTGAAGCCGTTGGCACTTGCGAGCCCTGCGACGAGTCGCAGCTGGACACAGTCACAGCACTTAGCGGCAGCGGACCCGCTTATGTGTTTGTCATGATCGAAGCCTTGGCTGATGGCGCTGTCCACATGGGAATGCCCAGAGATTTAGCCTATCGCTTGGCGGCACAGACTGTGCTGGGTGCCGGTCATATGGTACGTGAGTGCGACACACATCCCGGACAACTGAAAGACAACGTAACCAGTCCAGCTGGTTCAACGGCAGCGGCATTAAGGCACCTCGAAAAGTCAGGTACGTACATTAATGACATGACGTTGATGCTGATAAAGAGATGTCTCTTATCACTGGACTTTGCAGGTTTTCGTGCGGCTGTGGCTGGGGCGGTGGAGGCAGCAACGCTGCGCTGCCGGCAGATTTCGGACAAGCAAACCTAGACATAACAAAATAAGTTTTGAATTTTGTTTTTGTAATAATTAAAAATAACATCATTTGCGTTAGCACTTTTCATACACAACTGGAACTTAGAACTTTTTACGTTTCTTGGAGCGCGCCAATTCATTAAGTTCGCCCTGCTGTACGGAGGCTTCTTGGTAGATGCGTTTAACCTTTTCGTGACGCTCCTTATCGCTGCAATGGAAAATTTATAAGATTGAGCAAAGGTATTTTCAAAGCTATGCGTTCACTTACCTTCGTATCTGCTGCTTGAGTTTGAGATCTTGCACAAAGGCCGTGTCTCTGCGTATTTCGCGAATGGCGCCTTTCTTTTCGCGCTTGATCTTGTGTAGAAGCTTAACGCGTTCCTCCTTCTGCTTGGACATCTTGGGTCGTCGCTTATCGTCGTATACTACCTCAAAGCGAGGCTCCAGCAGCCGCAAGGCTTTTGGCTTCTTATCGGGCGGCGCCAGAGGCTTCATTTTCTGCTCCGCTACCGACTTCAGCGTTGACTTTGCTTCTGCACAGTGTTGCTGCACATGGTCAGGGTATAGATTCACCGGCAGATGCTCGATTAGCGGCAGAAAGGGACCAGCCAAATAGCAGGCACCCGTGTGTTCACCCATTTGTTCATCAAATATTTGTTTGATTAGACACAGCGTCGTGTCCAGTGCGCGCACCTTGAAGTCCAGGCTTATCGTGTGTGTTACCAGATCTGCAGTCTGCAACTTTTGTGGTAGGAGCGTTTTAGTCTCGCTCGTCGCTGGAATGGCCAACAATTTACTAAAAGGACCATCTCGCTCGAATGGCGGCACAATCTCCAGCTGTTCGTGTCGCTTGGCTATGGCCATATGAACGATGCCCAGCAGGAAATTGAAAATAGCGGGAAGTAAACGCTTGGATCGAGAGCTGAACTCCAGTGCAATGGTGACTATAAACAGACCCATGGCTATGTCTTGGCGCGTACGAACGCGCGCTCTCGACAGAATATGCTGCATGAAAATATACGTAGGAGTAGCCAAAGGGTGTCGAAAATCCGAGGTGGAATATAGATTTGAGACGAGCTTAAAGTAGATGAGTGTGTCCAGCGTAGGATAAGCTTTGTGATTTTTGCGGTACTCAGCGTATTTTTCCTTAATCAAATCTAACAAAGTGTTAGACATGCGCTCAGAATTCAGATGGCTCAGATCATGCAGTTGGGGCATTAGCTGAGAAACAAATTGGAAATGCAAGCCAATGTCCTGCTCGCTGGCATCCTCGAACATATCTTTGATGTAATGTAGCAAGAAGGCGTAGAGTTTGACAACATTCTCACGATTAACGCCTTCCAGCTTGGGATGATTGCACTTGATGATGCGCTCCACAACTGTGACCTGCTGTGTCGGCGTATACTTGACCAGTAGCTCAGTGAAGTCCTCATATGTCTTCGGCATTTTGATAGTGTATGGTATACTGGTGTCAGCCGTTTCTGAAAACTTCTGCTTTTGAGGTTTGATTTTAGTTGTTTTGGGTTGCGGAGTGTGGTCTGGCTCCGAATCCGACTCACTGCCAGATTCTTTAAGATCGCTTAAGTTATCTACCTCAGAATCAGAGTCACTGTTACTTTCTTCACCGTCGTCCTCATTTTCAGAATCTTCCGCAGACTTATCGTCACTCTGCCCAGTCTGATAGTCCTTTTTGCTATTCAAATGTGTCCCCAGATTGCCATCCAAATCGTATGCTAAAGTATCGTCGGCATCATCATCATTGCCTGCAGCAAAGTAACCATCATCCAAATCATCTGCTGAACGGTGAGTAGTCTGTATATTTGTTTCCTGCTCTTCACCATCCGCTTTCATGCGGCGCAAACGTTCATTTTCGAGTTTTTCCAGGCGAGCAGCCTCCTGTTTTGCCAGCTCCTCTGGTTTAATGAGTTTGTCTGTTACACTGCCACGCGGCTCGAAGATCATCTCTTTCAGTAACTTGTCATAAGCATCGGGCGGCGGCTTTTCATGTTGCTCGTCTTTAGTTGCCTGTGCAACCAGCGACAATAAGTCCTTGTAGTTGGCATCCAACTTTTCAGTCAGATCATGCACTTCATCCTTATCCTTCGCGATTTCGTTTTTCCGACGTTTCTGCTCACTAATCATTTCTTCTATAGCCGCTTGGCGATCTTGCGCCGCGTCGCCTCCACCACCAAAATGAGCCGTAGAAGTGAACTCAGCTGTAAGGTAAAATAACTTAACACTTATGTATCATTGATTTTTATGGCAAGTACTCACCGTCCAGACCTTCATCCTCTAACTCCTCATCATCAGAACGCTCGTCTCTGTATTTTTCAATCTCCTCCAGTGTTTGGCCTCTGTGTGTCAGCAACTCATCGTCGTTCAGGTTAAATTTCTCTGCCTTATTTGAGGCGCGCACCTGAGATAATTTTTCAGCCAAAAATCGTGCATTCATCACAGATTCGGTGAGCTGCTCACCGGTAAGGTGCTTGCCAATGCGATGGTCCATAAATTTGTTAGTTTTGTGCTTAACCGCATATTGCTTGCCGAGTGTTTCGACTCGCTTCTGATGTGCCTTAGCGCGAGAAACTCCAGGTAAACCCCGATCATGTTTGCAAATCCGACCCAAGATTTTAAATTTTTCTTTATTCACGTGCACGTCGAACGGATTCAACCGTTTAGCTGTTTGCGATATTGCAGCATCGAAGGGATTACTCGTTTTAACTGACTTCTTCGAATATACCGCATCGGCGTTGGATTTTTTACTCTTTGCACCCATTTAAATAATCTATTTTAACCGAGTTGAATGCATACGGCAGATGAAAACAAATGCAGTACACGTGCGCCTGAGATATCGATATGTTTAGCCGATATTTTCGATTGAGCCGATAGATTAAATGGAAACATATTTTGCACGTATCATATTTATCGATGTTTATTTTACAGCCCTCACAGCAAAACATCCCTGCTAAAACACACGTACATTTGTGTGTGAATTTTTCGGCGAAAGCCAACATCTACTTCTGTAGATATATAAGTTAAAGTCCATAAAACTAGATAAATAGTGAAAATACTTTAAAAAAGAAGTAGCATCACAAATATTTATATTTCAATATTCGTCTAATGCGTAGCGTCGCAGAAACTAATTCTCGATTGCCACGCAATTCCGCCTTTCATTTGTAATTGCATTAGTATTGGTGAGAAGGCCGACAGTAAATGTGCGTGCCTCACAACAGCGGCGGTCATATATTTCAACTTATGAGAACAGAAATTTGTGCAAATCGTGAAAATTGTTAAAAAATGAGTACAACGCCGCCCCAACTGCTGCAACTGCAGCTTTCCAGCGGAGGTGGGAAAGAAAAAGAAGCCAACGGTGGCAATGACGATTACCGATGCCGCGATAAGGATCGTTCTCGTTCCAAAGATCGGGGCAAGGACAAGGATAAAGACAATAGAGAACGTGAGAAAAAACGCAGGTTAGTATTATGAGTATGAGTATAATTATGATTTTTTCAGTAATTTATCGATTAATATCTTTACAGAGATCGAGATCGTGGCAGCAAAGATCGGGATAGCCGTCGACGTGACAGCCGCGAACGTGAACGGGATCGAGAGTCCCGATCTCATCGGAGTCGTTCGCGTAACCATGATGACTATGACAGACGCAAGAAACGCTCACGGAGCAAGGATCGTGATCGCAGACGTGAACGGGACCGCGAGTCTCGATCAAGACGAAGTGGTTCGCGAGGTGGAAGTAATCGCGATGACTATGATCGCAGTCGTAGGCGTCGTTCCAACAGTCGCAGCTACGACCGGCGTCGTAATGAGCGCAACAATGATTCGCATCGTAATAGCCGAGAACGGACCAGTCGGGAGCGCAGCAGTCGTGAGCGCACTTATGTGAACCCATTTGACACATCGAACAATCGCAATCTATCGCATGAGCAGGAGTCGCGAATACCGTCTCTCTTCGAACGCCATCACCAACAGCCCCAGTTGGAGTCAATTAGGGAGGAATCCAGTTCGCGCTTTGACTTGTCGCAGACCATACAGGATTTAATGAGCAATGTGGGCAACAACAAGAGTTTTGCATCGTTGTTTAGCAATCAAAACAGCAACGATTCCATGGGCAACGGAATCTCCGAGAACTCAAGTAGGTATCGCCATCCTATTGCTTAAAACTATTATTTTCAATTTGTTGTTTTGTCTCTCAGTGGACAGCGCAGCGGAACGGAAGCGAAAGAGGAAATCTCGATGGGGCGGAACTGAAAAAGACAAGACATTCATACCGGGCATGCCTACAATTTTGCCCTCCACGTTGGATCCGGCACAGCAGGAGGCCTATTTAGGTAAATTAGTTTTACTTGTATCATTTGTAGTTAGTACGCAACTAAGTTAGTAGTAAGCTTAGATATAAGTCTAATGACAACTAATAAGCAAAACAAACACAGCCACAAATAGTCGCGGGGAGATCACAGTAAGCGTTACCGTTATCCACCACAGTTAGAAGTCCATGTCAGACGGCCGGACGTGCGAGAAAACGTAAAACCACAACAAAATTGCATTGAGCAAACTATAATAATCTCTCGTTCTCTTTTTGAAGGGATTCCGGCGTGTGACACAAACGACACGAGTTCCAAACGGCTAGATAATAACCTTATCTAAATGCCCAAAGAGAAAAACATGAACCAATCTAATCAACCAACAGCTCAAATAAATCGATCAATAATCTAATTATAATAATTGTAACGCTCACAAATTTTCAGTTAGTTTAGGCACGTGTCGGCGCTGTCGTCTGTAAAACGGAAACACAAATGTCGTATCAGGCTCATAGAGATTATAATCTATACGGTCTCCCCTAGCCCACCATTATTTGATATACCACATATATAAATAAATCTCTTTTCCTCTCTCGTACAATATTAGCATTTAACATATACTAATGTCGAGGTTGCGCTCGATTTTCTTTCTTCTTCTCTAACGACTTCTAATTACAGTTCAATTTCAAATCGAGGAGATTAGCCGCAAGCTGCGCACTGGCGATTTGGGCATCACGCAGACGCCGGAAGAAAGGTTTGAAACTGTTTATACTCACACCACACCTCTCTTTATCTACCTCAAAAATTAAAAACAATCCAAAGTGAACATGTTTGAGCACAAGCAGTTTCGGATATGGATGCGAGTTGGGTTGTGGAAAGGCAATACGATCTGCGTTCTACGATCTACACCAGTGCTTCAATTTGTACAGGTTTAATGCAGCATGTTCTGCAATTACAAAATGAGAAAAATTATAATTATTAATTTTTATTTAATTATAACTATATATATGTATACATAAGCATTTTGTCAAGCTGTCATCAACAGTTCAGATTTCGATAATTTTAAACTAAATTCGAATATATTTATCTAATTAATCTGTTGATGATAGTTTTTGTGAATGCTTTAACAAATTCTATTCTACAAATAACTTGGGTGAAGGCCTGCGGTTCAAACAGTTGAAAGCACAGTTATTCATTATCCAGTGTGTTGATTGCACATCCCCGGTTATGGGGGTTTCGGAAAGGAAAACTAATATTAAGCGGCTTTGTGGGCACAAAATTCTTAATTGATTTTTCTTGTTTTTGTTGGATTTCAACTAATGCTAGTCATAATTAATATTTTTAAAACATTTCAAGGGCTTTATATTGGTGTCAGACAGCGTTTTAGATTCGACTCCCGAGAAGTGTAAGCGTGTGGCAATCTAATCTAATCAGATTTAATATTATAATAATGCCAATTTCTTCTCTTCCTCCAAGCCGTGAGCGTCCAATACTTAAATGCACGTTTTACAGAAAAGTGAGCCCATTTACACGAAGGGTGCTCCCAAGCAACAACAGACCAGCCAAACAAACAGAATGCATATGCACTTCCAAATGCGTAGATCTAAGTGTGCGACAAATCGAATCGAAACCAAATGAATTAATCAAAATTCTTCTCTTCTCAATTCACCAGCGAATTTTTCTAATCAAAACTTGCTAATAATGTTGATTAATGAATGATGATTTGCAAATTACAGGACTTATGTTATACGATAATTCATATAAAATATATCAAATACGATTATGTAGTACTTAAAATAAGATCATTAAGCTTAGACAATTGCATTTCGCTAGCCGCTGAGCACGCCCATTTCAAAACAAATGTTTTGTTTCTTTTGCTTATTCCCAGGTCACCTTCCCCGGAGCCTATTTACAGTTCTGATGGGAAACGTTTGAATACGCGCGAATTTCGTTATCGCAAGCGATTGGAAGAGCAGCGCCATCAGCTAATAGTCAAAATGCAGGCGGTTAATCCAGAATTCAAGCCTCCAGCAGATTACAAGTAATGATGTTTATTATTTAAATTAATTGCTTAAATTAATAATTATTTGAATCTCTCGTTTAGACCACCTGTTACGCGTGTCAGCGACAAGGTACTGATTCCGCAAGAACAGCATCCGGATATAAACTTCGTGGGCCTCTTGATTGGGCCACGCGGCAACACGTTGAAGGCCATGGAGAAGGATACCGGAGCGAAGATCATAATTCGCGGTAAAGGCTCTGTCAAGGAGGGCAAAGTAGGACGCAAGGATGGCCAGCCTTTGCCAGGAGAAGATGAGCCACTGCACGCCTTTATTACAGCTCCAAATCCGGAGGCTGTGCGTAAGGCCGTCGATAAGATTAAAGATGTCATACGTCAGGGCATCGAGGTGCCCGAGGGTCACAATGATCTGCGCCGCATGCAGTTGCGCGAGTTGGCCCAACTCAATGGTACGCTACGCGAGAATGATATACAGCGCTGCACTTGCGGTTCGACGGATCACAAGTCATGGCAGTGCCCGGATAAGCCAATCATTACCAACACAATTGTGTGCACCTCATGCGGAGGCACTGGCCATTTAACAAAGGATTGTCGTAATAAGCGTCCAGGCTCCGGCGCGCCAGGCATGGCCTGTGAGGATTCCCAGGCTAAGATCGATGAGGAGTATATGAGCTTAATGGCAGAGCTTGGCGAAGGACCACCACCTTCCGCCGCGAAGGCTGATGTGCCTGCTGCTCCGCAGCTTCATCGGGCGAGCTACAGTATCTTCGATAAGAAGCCTTCACAGATGCAGGCCATACAGTCACCACCCAATTCGTCGTCACGTGATCATCAACGTGACATGGGCGGGGGCTGGGGAGGACCATCGCATGAGCATCAAATGAACATGGACCCTGGCATGGGCATGGATCATGGAATTGGCATGTCACCATATGTACCGGCACCGCCCGTGGTCCAGGCGCCACCACCAATGCCGCCGCCGCTAATGCCTTGGATGAGTGCGCCGCAGCCGCCCCCACCGGCCACCGAGCCCATGAATCCGCCAATACCAGGCACATTACCGCCTTTAATACCGCCGCCGCCTGGTACTAGTGCACCGCCAATGCCACCGTGGGCAAACAGTTATCCTGGCTGGGGCACGGGCTATGTACCACCACCTCCACCGCCGTGTGCGCCGCCACCGCCTTCGCTAAGCCTGTCTCAGCCGCCACCGCCGCCGCCGCCATCTAACTGATCTTTTACATATGCCTCACACACTTATAACTTGTAGCCTAACAATCTTCTTATATCTAATATCTAAAACTTAAAAAACCTGAACTAAATATGTAACTATGTACTTTGTATTTTATGCTTCATTAAAGGATTGACAAAATATTAGTTTAGAGCTTTATTAAAGTCTTTGCTGTTGTGTTATAAGTGTGGAGTGTTTTTTAGAGAATTAACCATGCTTGCTGAAGTACTGCTTGGACTCATCTACGTCTGGCTTAATTGTAGCTGGGTTTGTTTTTGGATTCCAATTGGCCGGGCACACTTCGCCATGCTCCTCGACAAATTGGAACGCCTTGATCAACCGCAAAACCTCATCCACAGAACGACCTACAGGCAAATCATTGATACTGTACTGACGCAACACGCCCTTGGGGTCAATAATAAATGTGCCACGCAGCGAGATGCCTTCCTTATCAAGCAGAACGTCGTAATCAGCAGATATCTTCTTGGTGATGTCTGAGAGCAATGGATATTTCAGTTTGCCGACGCCACCGTTCTTACGTTCCACATTACACCAAGTAAGATGGCTAAAATGCGAGTCAACAGAGACACCTACAACTTCGGTGTTGATGTCCTGGAACTCCTTAATGCGTTCGCTAAATGCAACAATTTCTGTTGGACAGACGAAGGTGCTGTAAAGAAATCAAGATTCAGACAACTGACTTCGTCAAATGCAAGACACTTGCTTACAAATCTAGTGGATAGAAAAACAAAACCAAATATTTTCCTCTGTAGTCCTCAAGTTTGATCTCCTGGAAGTCATTGCCGACGACTGCCAGGCCTTTAAAATCAGGGGCCGGCTGTTGTACACGCACAGCGCACAGTGCAGTAGCTGTACATGTGAAAGAGGTTCGTTAGTTTCGTTGGATGCGCAAATAAACTGTGTCTGTACGCTTACTCTGATGCAGCAGACGTGCTGTTTGTTTATGCTGACCAGCAATGAGTTTATTCAAGAGCGACACCTGCAATGCATAATTTGCAAGTTACACGTTACGTAATCACAATGGCATGTTTTTTAAAATTTTGCTGCACCTAGAAACAAACACTTACATTGCGCAGTAGTTTAATTCCAATGAAAGACATAATTTATTTGATTTAAATAATAAAAATAATTTGCTTGTTAATTAATAACCGTTTACAAGTTGTTAACCTGAACCGAACGATAAGTGAACACGAACCGGCATAAGACAAACTGCGAAAATACAATACAAAAACACAACAAATGACAAAAGCTTTTAACTCGGTTGGCAGCTCCGCTAAAGTTATCGGACTAAGATTGTTATCGTAATTTTATTGCGGCGAAAAATTTGGAGCCAAAATTTAAATAAAAACTTTAACTGAAAATGTACCTTTTAACAAATTCTTTATATATACATAAATGAGCAATAATGTTCTTGCTATCGAGTTCAAAGCATATGCCGCGTGTCTTAATGCCAAAGATCCATTGGGAGATAACTGTTTTAAACTGAACAAACAAATCTACAAGCCTACAAAACTATTCTTGTCAAAAAGATAATGGAAAGTGTAGCAAAATATTTATCACGCACTCCGCATGCCATACAATGGTAATGAGCTATGATACGTTGGACAGCATAGAGCAAAAGCATTTCTATGCTCGCATGTGTAGATACTCAATACATACGCATTAATGTTGCTTTGTTTCTTAATCTAGTAAATGCTCAAAAGCGGCTCAGGCTCAACATCAGCTTCATTCAACGCACACACATGAACACGGCTAACAACAAAGCAAATCGCTGTGCGTAGCATAATGGCGTTCGCCAGTCTTTGGTTTGCGGTTTAAGCGATGGCAACTGGCTGAATAACAATGAAAACTGCATAGGTTGCACTCATCCAGATCTTGAATCTCTTGGGTACTCTAACGAAACAATGGCAACCGACAGCAAGGCGAATGTTTTGCATATGACAGTGTTGGCAAAACATTTACAGTACTATTCACTCCTACGCGTAAATAACTGTACTCAGCATACTCCTTGGCATATTGATGGAAGAGAGCTCCCAGATATGTTAGCAATGATCAACGTTCGCCTGGAACTTACACAACAATTAATCTTGGCATTGTCTCTGTTTAATATGGCACTCGCCATAAAGATACTTAACATATAGTTGATATATACAGGAGTGGTGGAAATGCTATGCTTGTGTGTTAATCTCCAACTTCTACCCAGTCACCTACCGTTGCCAATTAGAGTTAGACAACAAGCGAGCTTTATTTCGTTTCATTGCTTCCACGCTTGCTTTCCAGATGTTTACGCCGTTCTCGCATCAATTTTTGTGAACGGAAATTTTTAAATGTGCGTAACAAAATATTGGAGCTAACAAGCCAAAATGCACAGTTGGCTGTTATTCAGTCCAGGGAAGATGGGGAGCTGTACGGCATATTTTCCCGCGAATTCTAACAGGCATTCACACACACTCACATGCCAAGTTCCTGCACCAATTCCGTTAGTTAAGTCCGGATTACGTTTACCAATTAAATGCATGTAGTTTTGTTTATGAGGTTCGATGGTCGGCGCGCGCCACACAATTCACGTTTACAATACTCGGCCCGCCCGCTGGATTTGCACAGATTTACATAATTTAAGCAAACAGCACTTGAAGCTTAGGCATGCATTCTGAGTGTCTTTCTGTGTGTGTGTGTGTGTCCTTTGTTTATCTTGCAAACAAGCATCGCGTGCAGAGCTCTAAGATTTCTATTGAGACGTTGTCGCCGTTCACACGCAGCGCTCGGCTTCAGGTGCCGATCTGTCTCATTCTCCGCTTGCCTGCGTCGCATTGTCCGCCAGATGCCGTCATATTAGCACAAATCTGCTTACCTTTTGTTGACGCTCGAGTGCCGAGCCTAGATTGGACTAGATTTCGAGTCCGAGCACTCTTGATTCGTGACAATTGTCACAGTACCTTCGAACTTTGGTTGAAAAAGGTGAGAGTTTTCGCTTTGCACCTACTTCTGCCGCAACGCGTAATCCCGATGCAAATCTAGCTAATGTGATACGTATCGATAGGACCAGGCCCACAGTTCTGTTCTCGCTCAATATTTTTTCATCTTCCGTTGTTCTTTTAACACTTTGTTCTGTAACTTGAGACATTCCAGTTAATTACAATAAAGTGCGGAGACATTATATACATGACCATTATCCCTTTTGCGATCAGCTAAACTATAAAAAGCCTGCCTGCTGTAACTATTTCGCTATAATTTGCGCTTTTACGATTTACAATTAATTTGATTGCGAAATTGTTTAACAATTGTAATTATTGTCTATGCATGTACGGCAGCTGGATCTCATTACGTCTGCTTTAACATTTTTTTCATTCAGATTAATGTTATAACATTTGTATATATATGTAAATTTAACCCTAAATGTTATTTAATGCGATCCCATTACCTATCTGCATCAGTATATCGAATGTTTTATTTGCATTTTAATACTCGCTTACGAAGTGAAATGAGCATATTAGCTTTGTGTTCACCATCATTATGACAATTGACAAACTTGATGCTTGAAATATTTACTTATGAGTACCCTAACTAATCTGATAAAATGCTAGGAAATTCAGAACACTCCCACTAAGAGCTGGGTAAGTCAATTATTTTATTTTAGTTTTACAAGAAAACTTATTTACTTTGGGCAGTATTGCAGCCAGAGACTTGGAACTTGAAACGTATAATTAATTATATACATATAATTATAATTGCTAAAACTTTATTGTCTACAGTTTTACACTCAAAACACTTTACCTTGTTATATGATTTCAATTGGCATCCTCATTTAAAGTTGTATGTTCAGTCGGAAATACGCCATCTTTCCCAGCTTTTCATCTAAATTTTGTATATAAATTCGTATATAAATCGCAGTAACATTGTATATCCATGGCTTGGAATGGCCTTAGAACTGAATCTTTTACAGCTTTAAATCTTAGTTTTGGTAGCTACTGCTCACTTCAACTAAAAATATCTTTTCCAGTAGAATCACTTTTGAGCTTCTCTATTGATAAATATATATATGTATATATATATATATAGGATATAGGGGATATATATATATATATAAATTATATGATTTCCAGTCCTGTGGTGACTGAAAGTTAGGTTGAGAGGCGACTGTGCCTCTTATTGCTGGCCTCGGGCTCAGACAATGAAATAAGCCATTTAACGAGCAAATGACGGAGTGAATATTTATTTAAGCGGTTTACTGGAAGAACGCTTTTTAACCCTGCTTTTAATTGTTCTTTTTTGAATAATCGAAACAGTTAATTTTATTGGTTTTTCTTATTATATTCACTATTTTTAGTTTTACTTATATGACACCAATTTTTAGCATGTCCTATCAGTACGAGTTAAAACACGAGACTGATCTATATTTTTACAAATCATAGCCTCACCGGCGTAAGTAGAGTTGCCCTTGCCAGGGCTGTTCCTTAACTTGTCTAGCACCCGATAATAAGTGTTGAATAATACCTTACATTAAGTGTTATAAGCTAACTAAGTGTTATAAGTTAACTACCCCCCCCTCAAGTGTAAGGTCGTCCTCGACCGACCCAATTCCAGCGACGACTCCTCGCAAGTGCTTCGCGGACTTCTTTGCGTCGATGATCCACCAAAGAGTGAAGCCAATGCAGATTAAAGCACAGCATATGGCTCCTCTTTCGGAGTGCCGTACAACGACACATCATCAAAGTGCACCATTTCGGTTCCTTGGTCGCATATTAGCAGCGGTGACCAGCGAGTCGGTGCAGGTGTTCTCGAATGAAATCCGCAAGTCGTTCTCATTCACATTCAATACGGAGCAGTATGAGCAGCGTACTGATTCTTCGCTATCGCCGTTCAGCAGGCGCTTACTAAGCTTGCTCTTGCGCCTACGTATGTGGCGTCTGTTGAAGCTGTTGGTGCACGACGTGGACGTGGGCCTTGGCATCGGATGATGCATACCAAAGTTGTGCAGCTGCAGCGACTTGAGTGTGGCTGGCGCCGTCGATGACTGGCCGTGCACGTGCCCGTGATGGCCGTGATGACTGTGTCCCACCACTCCAGCGATGCTATGAGCCGTTACTGGACGAGTGATGTGTGTAGTCTGTCGGCGCGCTCAGCTGGCGATTGAATTCGGCCTTGCGGCGCGTCAAGTCCGTCAGGCAGTATTTGTTCAGATGGCCGTTGCTGGAGACAGGGCTCTTGGGCGATGATGCCAGATGCTGCGTATAGGCCGAAGGAGTTGCTGCTCACGCTTAGCTTATTGCCGGCGTTGTGCAGCAGATTGTTACAGTTCTTGCCGCTGATCTTGGCCGACTTTTGCCCGTCGTCGGTATCGTGTTGCTGCTGCTGCTAGCCGCCCTGTACTCCTTGTCGTCGCTCTCGCTGCGCACCGATGCTCGATACGCAGGAAATGTCTTCGTCTTGCTCTTCAGAGAGCCGTTCAGCAGTAGCTGCTGTTGCCGTGCGGCAACTGCCGACAATGCCGGCAGCTGCAGTTGACGTGACGCCGCTGCCGATGAGGATGAGGATGAGCCGGCAGCCGTGGCAGGTGTCGACAGAGATGGGCAGCGGTTGGAGCAACCTGTGGCTGTGAAACTTCTTGAATTAATGCAGTTGGCGGTGTTTTGGGGATTTCTTGACTTGGTTCTAGTATGGATGAAGAGTCGCTTGGCTCTGCCGCCGCGAAGAGTTCGTTAGTTGTTGCTGGCTGATGAGCTTCTACTGTTGGTGGTGGTGCCGTGAACAAGGGGGTTTCCTCAACGATTCCGCTTGTAGATTTGCATGCTGTGGTTCTGGCTTAGCATCCAACTATGGGGCGAATAGAGCTGTTGCTGGTTCTTGTGGACGACAGGATAAATCGTAATTTTTCTGCAGGCTTTTTTAATTTTTGGGAATTTGGTTATAAAATGTATAGTGTTGATGGATTCCTCTAGCCAAATTGATTTTAAATCTGAGGAGTCCAAAATGTTTGGGCTAACAATGAGCCTTCGCGAGAGTAATAGCAAGCATTAAACTTTGCAACTAGATCGTCCGCATTCTGTTTCTGGACAGTGTTTCAGTGTTTCAAATAAATAAATCAATTTGTGAGTTTTGGCTATCCCGAGAACTCCATTGACAGCAAATGTTAACTGGTTAAGCTGGTCTTGAACCTCAGTGTTTACTTCTATCCGTCTACTGTTGGCATTCATTAGTCGCATTTCAGTGGACCTAATC